TTATCTTCTTTTTTCACATCATTGGTGGACAGTCTTAGCTCAGAGAAGTTGGGTTAATAACAAGCTCATGCAGCTATTTTGTAGTACAGCTTAAATTTGAGTTTAGGTGTTCTGCCTCTAGAACCAGGGTTGTATATCATGCTGTCTTATGTAGTGTTTATGTTCTCCTGTTGCTTTATTTGTGTTGTTTTGAGATGGCCCCTCTTCCTTGTCTTTCTGCCCAAAGTAAAACTAAAGAAAACTGAATTTCATGAAAAACTTGCTGAAACTTTGGTGTCCCAAACTATGATACATATTACATTTTAGGAATATGCAAACCTTCTGGATATACATAAAAATTTCTTGATCTATTGTATCTTACACTAGAATAGAATATCATTTTATATATATCTCTCTCTCTGAAAAAATGTGTATGTATGTATGTTCTTTGGATGGGAGAGTGGCTTAAATATATTTCGTCATTAAACTTAACCACCCCAGTTTTCTTTTGGTTCAAATTTGCCTGGTTATATCTTTTACTATCCCTTTTTTGTAAATTTTTCTGAATCCTTTTGTTTAATGTATCTCTGTAAATGACTCATTACTGGATTTTGTTTCTTACCCAACCTGAGAATCTTCTCTGGCATTTTGATTCTATATCACTTGTGGGTGAAATTTCTTTAGTTTTCTTTTTAGTTACTAATTGTTTAGATTATAATAATTACGTTCTAAGTCAACCTTACTTGCTTTATCTGGTCCTGAATTTATTTCTCTTCTTATTGCATTGCATTCGTCAGAACTTCTTTCAAATAATGTCTTTCTGTGGTGAATTTCCTGCGACCCTGTATGCTGAGAATTTATTTTTCCTTCTCTTTAAAAATTTATTAGCTATATATAAATTCTAGGTTCACAGTCCTATTCCTTTAACACTTTATCTTGAAGTTCATACTACATATCTTATACTCTAGCATTAATATGTTGAGAAGTTTGATGTCAGTGTTATTCTTCCTGTGTGGAGGGGTATGCTTGTTCATTCTAGAAGCTTTTAGCCTTTGCTCTTGATCTGTAACACTCTTAATAATCCTTATATTATGCTTTGCTGTGGATTTTCATTTAACCTGTTCACTGCTCTGTGTACCCTTTCAGTCTAAGATTTGAATAATTCTGTATCTGGGAATTTTTTGTTATTATTTCTTCAGATATTTATTCTCTTCTGTTTTGTCTTTGTTTTCCTTCTAGGGTTCCCATTATTAGATGTTCACACTTCTATTCCTCTTCTTAACTTCATCTCTTGTTTGTTCTGTCTTTTCATCCCTTTCCTATGCCTTCTGGGAGAGTTCCACCCAGTGTTCCAGCTCACCAATTTATTCTCAGTCTGTAGCTATTGTGCTTTCAATTCAGGCTCTGAGTTCTTTATTTCAAACTACTGTATTTTTAATACCTGCTATCTCATATTGATTCCTCTTCATAACTGGTTTTTTTTTTGTATTAAATTTCTAAAAATCTTTTATCTTTAAAGGTGTTACGCTTATAGTATGTTCTTGCTCAATCTATTTTTTTTCCTCTGGATGAGGTTGCTCCATTTGTTTTTTTATTCCTGTGCTTACTCACCTCAGAGGTCTTCCTATGGACTTCTCTTTTATTTATTTGCAATATTCAGCTGCCTTGGCTAGTAACTTTAATCTAAGGAGAGAGGTAAAAGTCGAGGATCTGGCTTGTGCTTCTCTGGGACAATTTAAAAACTATAGTGCAAAGCCGCTAGTATTGGACTCTGGCCTGAATCAACCACGTTTTCCACTGTGTCCTCATACTCCACACACCACATATGTACACACAACCCCCAATGCTACCCTCCCAAACAACCACTTGCTGTTGGAGTTGCCTTGCTCTTCGTGTGGTCTGGAGAGAGAGTGGGCCTGGGGAAGACCAGTCAGAGACCTGAAATGGTTGCTACTGATTTTCTTCACGTTTAGATGTCAGACCCTTATTAGTTGAATACATACTCTGATGCAGGCACTGTATTGGGTGTTGGGATATAAAAATTTTAAAGATATAATCCATGTTCTCAAGGAATTTTCATTTTAGTGGGGTCATTGGGAAAGTAATTAGGTATTTATAATAAAGTATGATAAACTATGTGATGAGAACACATGGGAAGAGTTGATTAGTTCATTTGTGAGGAAGGGAGGAGGTTTCCTTTCCCGTATGGGTTGAGTCCTGAAGGATGTTTTGTTTTTGTTGTGTTTTGATTTTGTTTGTAAGCTAGGTGAGGAAAGACTAGAGGAGGCTGGGAGAAAAGGAGCATTTCAGATAGAGAGCAAGTGGTTCAGTAGTGAGGGAAGCCAGGTTAATTTCTTATGGCTATTGCTGTCACATTTTTGGCAATAAAACAGGGAATGAATAAAATGGAGTGTAGTAGGATATTGTGTATTTTGAAAAGGAAATGACACGATCAGGTGTATATTGTAGGAAGATCTTGCTGTATTATAGAGAATAAGTTAACATGGGGCAAGGCAAGAGCCATTGGGACCCATTAGGAGGCTTTGTAGTAGCCTGGGAGAGAAAAGATGATGACCTAAAGTAGTAGCTGTGAAGACAGAAGTGGCTAATTCTAAATGATAATTATGGATGTTCGGTCGCCAAGACTCTGTGGTTGAATACATTTGTTTACATTTGGTAGTGGAGGAAAGGGCCTGTGTCAAGGATGATGTGGCTTTCCTACATACCATTCAAAATGCCTATTTCCTAAATATCATTTAATTTAAAGAATCACTTGAAAATATAACAAAGTAATAGTCCAACCAGCCTTTTTTTTTTTTAAAGAACAGATTGTTATCCTTGATTCCAAAATACAAATAGCTGAAAAAACTGGGGGATTTTCCCTAAGTTTGTGGCAAACTCAATTGATAGCAAAACTAACCCTGAAATGAAGTTAGTCATAGTCTTTGTTTATCCCATTTTGTGTGGACATTCATGTTGCTTTCAGAATTATTGTTGTGTATGATAATGAGATGCTGCTTCAAAGCTTGCTGCCAATGTTACATGGCATACAGCATGGTGTGTCTTACTGCCTTCCTAAAATCCAGAATATTCTGATGAAGCATGTCTAATTCTAGTGGTCTCGAATTATGGACTTGTACTTTGAATCTGAGCATTTTTGTTCTTTTATACTGCAGTATTATTTTCTAATAAGAACCATGATGTGACAATGTAGCCATGGGGGTGGGGAAGATGTAGATTCGTATTATATAGTGCAAACTATGAGTTAGATTGCCAAATGAAGGGACAAAACAGTGAATGTAGTATGCTTCTGTTTGGGTTTAAAAAAAAAAAAAAAAGCAGGAGGAGAAAGACGCACGTGCACACAGACCCACACACACACAGAATATCTTTAGAAGGACAAACAAAGAGCTAATGTCTGGTTGAGAACAGGGAGTCAGTGATGGGAGGAAGACTCGATTGTACTGTAGTGCACACACATGTGCATTGCACTGTCTGATGTTTCACTATATGCATTTTTTTTTGTTTAAATTTTAAATTACGTGGTGACTATATGAGAATGTCCTTGTGAAAACTTAAAGATTTATTTGACTTCTAGCTCCAGGAAATGCATTAAATTTGTAGTAAATTAAAAATTATTTATGTACCCATTAGCCTTTCTAATTCCTTGTTACAGTTTATTCCTGTCATTTGTCATTAAGACTGCATCCAGAGAATGAGTTTCAGAAATCCTTAAATTTTCAAGTATTGAATATATAGTATTGCTAAGATTGCCAGAGCAGAAAGTAGAGAAGAGAATGGCTAAAGATGAGTGCTGATCAGTAGATGTTGGAATTTATTCCCAGTATACCAGACTGGGCAGTGAGAGCAAAAGTTGGAAATGTAGTTTTCAGGCAGCACATCTGAAGGGGAAAACGATAGGGAGATTTGGAAAGATGGTGTAGCAAGACAAAGGAAACAGAGAAGTATATTTTTGGCAGTGAAAATTGGAGACAGAAATAGAAGAAAAGTAAACTTGGGGCTCCTTTAGAGAAAGAAAGAGGTGTGAGGGAAAGATTAAATATCATGAATGCAATACTGTTCTTGGATGTTTCATAATTATTCTCTGCAATGTGGTAGAAGTATACTTTTATGTTAAAAATACAAGGCTTGGTATTTGTGATGAAATTAAAATACTACTTGGTCTCAGTGAGGAAATTTTAAGTCCATTTGTCACTACTAAATTAATAAGAACCAAAATTAGGGGAAAAATAAACTATTTGCCACATTTTGCCAAATGCATATTTAAATTATCTTTGCTACTGACATAGTTATTTGTTTTTTTAGTTCCATCAGCCATCTTTTTTTTACAGTGAAAAGCAAGAATTAAGTACTTAAAATGTCATGATATTTGATGTTTGTGTCTTCATTGGAGATATTTTGTTTTTTAATATTACAACAATCTTAGGTCCTGATTTATAGTGTGCACTAAGTTAATAAAATTAATGTCAAGGAAAAATTTGTTAAGATGTAGTTACTTAGATATATAGTCACAAACATATTCTTTATGTATATATTTTTTATATAAAATGCAATCATTGGTGGATGGATATTTGATAAAGCAAATGTAGTAAAATGTCAATAGTAGAATCTAGATGGTAGATAGAATCTGTATGAACATTTTTGTAATAAATGTTGGAGAAAACATAAACTCTAATGAAAAAGCTAATGTGAAATAGATATTGTGTGAATAGTAAAATAATAGTATACTTGACTTCCTTTTGTTCTCTGCTGACTTTGAAAAATCTGAAACAGTCTGTTAGTAGAATCCCAATTTTAGTGGTAATATTATTAGATGTAAATAAATTATCTGTTTCCTTTTGGTGGAAATTGTTTTGTCCTTAAAAACAGTGTTATTGTGAACATTAAGTGAAAATAATATGAAAAAATCATAAGGATTTATAAAATGCATTTGAGGTAAATGTAAATTATGATAGACAACTGTTTAGCAACTATTTAGAACTTTTATTCGTCTATTTTAGGGAATCTGGAAACATCAAAGCTGGATTAGAACATCTGGTAAGTTCTAATTTTCTCTTGAACATTTGCATCATCTTTGATATCTGCATTCTAAATGAACACTTTTGAATGAGCTTTGAATACCTTGTATTGAGAAAGTCAACCATTTCCCAAAGGGTCAGCTTACTGTTGTTATGTGAAGGCACTTACATTTTCATTTATCTTATCATTTCAAGGGAATTTAAAATTTTTTTTAAATTACTTTTTTTTTTTGATGTAGAGATGAAATAAAATGGATGACAATCCTTGGATTGATGATTGCTTTAATTATAAACAAAAATGTTTGGTGTAGAATTTTTGGAATATCTTGATTTGACAAAAACAAGCTGGTGTTTTAAGAAAAACACAATCAAATATTGCATGCATAAATATGGTATGTTTTAGCAATTTAACGGCTTTGAAAGAAGGGCACAGCTTTGTTTTTCCTGATGTCTTTGCTTTATGAATAATGCATTGGTTTAAACTACATTCAGTTTTAGAATATGAAATAATTGAGATGCAAAATTTTTGGTTTAAGTAAACATTTTTCAAGTACAAATGAAATTCAAACTGACTTAACATTAAAATCTGTCCATTGATCAAGAAATTAGAAAAAGTGTTCGTTATACCAGGTCCAAAATTCATTTAGCTTCCTGCATTGAGTGTTCATTACAACATTAAGTAGTTCATTTAAACAGAGCATTATAAAGTCATGCTATGGTTTCTGGTCAGATCCAAATGTTGAATAATTAATGATAGAGATTCTTTTGTAAATACAATCTAAGTACTTTTTTAATGTAAGACTTCATTCGTATATCATATTGTAGCTTTGTTAACTATTAATGTGCTTTTGTTTGCTCCCACAAAAGCAAACAGTAGCAAGAGGCAGCTTCACTTTGCCTTACAGTAGTTTTAGAGTTAGAAGGGATTTTTGGTTTTCCTTACCATAAAGGAAACTGAGGAAACCCAGACTTTTAAAAAATGATCCTAAAAAATACAAATTAATTATTAAAAGCAATATATAACAACCTAGTTAGAATATTTGAACTATATATTCGTCTAGATTAGAAGTAAATGAATTACATTGTTATTCTCATTATTAGAAATTATTTCCTGAATCCCTGTTTGTCACTTCTTAGTGGCATAATATATTTAGGACATATGGACATTAGAATAAAAATGTTAATCTAAAACATCAAATTCCAGTATCAGTTGGGGGCTTATAATAAGGAAGAACAGCTACCATTGTGCCAAAATGAGCTGTCTTTTATACTTATAAATTATTATTATTATTATTATTTTTAAAGATTCTATTTATTTATTTGAGAGAGAGAGAATGAGAGAGAGCACATGAGAGGGGGGAGGGTCACAGGGAGAAGCAGACTCCCTGCCGAGCAGGGAGCCCGATGTGGGACTCAATCCCGGGACTCCAGGATCATGACCTGAGCCGAAGGCAGTTGCTTAACCAGCTGAGCCACCCAGGCACCCTAAATTATTATTTATAAAAAAGACTTCATTTTCACTTGTTTCATATTCCTCAGTAAATAATAATGGATCAAATTTTTTTAGTTTAAAATTTACATTTTTAATATTTACTAGTATGAACTCATTTACAGTGACTTTTTAATACGTTTATACTCTACTTATAATCTTATTCAGCACTGGTTTTCTAACTGCCTTGGGCTGCCAGGAAGGCTCCCCAAAGCAGGTGGCACTCCAGACTGTCACTACCCACTTTAATCGGAGTAGTTCCACTTTTAGTTATTTTATAAATTTTTAAATTTTTAAAATAAGAGTTTAGTTGAAGAAAATTTTCCAACTAAAAATATTTGAAACCTTTGATCAAGCATAGCTATTTATTAAAGTCAAGAGTAATTGTTAATTATTCTTTTCTGTTCTTGACCCTAAGTTATATTTCATTTTTATCTGGGTCATATACATCAAATATATTTCAAAGATAATGCATTTTAGGGATGAGAGAGCTAGGATCAGTACAACAGGTAGTGGGAAGTGGATGATTTTAATGCATTTTATCTAGGTTGTTCAAAAGACTGTATAGGTTGACATTGTAAAATTGACACACTGAAATATTTGCAATAACATGAATATATGAATATATAACATAATATCCTATATATACACATATATACAGATCATACTGCCTTATGCACTATTGTCCAGTAAAGTCAGTGATAGTCTTCACAACTGCCTAGAGGGAAGTGAACTCAAGAATTTATTGTTTGAGCATTAATGAAACCTGTCTGTCTAACAGCTGCAGGCTCCTTAGGATTGTGTCTCTCCAGTTTCCAGCTGAGCAGATACTTAGAGCCCTTGCCTTCTAGCACATCTAGACCTTCTTTGAATTGGCTGTGTAGCTAAATACAATTAGAATTATAGTTTCTAATAGATTGATCTTTAAAAATATATGGTGTAAAATTAACATCCCACACATGTGGAATTAATTTCTTTTTATTATCCTTCAGTCTTTGTTTTTTTCAAATTTACTTGAATTATCATAGAGAATTAACATTGTTCTAAGGGTAAAAGCAAGTATAAATTTAAATAAGCTAAGAAAGGAGCATCTGGCTGCTCCTTTCTTAGCTCTTGATCTTGGGGTTGTAGGTTCAAACCCCACTTTGGGTGTAGAGATTGATTAATTTAGTAAAATCTTCTAAAAATAAAAAAATAAAAATAAATAAGCTAAGAAAAATGACATATGCAGCATGTTATACTTGCCACAAGGACGCATACATAGCATAGTTGTATATACTGCCTTTGTATTCTGTTTATGGGCTCTTCTTGGTATATAGTTACCTGTAACCCTTAGAAAGGAAAAAGCAGGTGTGGATAGCAAAAAGGGTGGGATAAGTGGACTGTATTCCCGTGGAACCTCTCCAAGGGCTGATCTCATTTATTTGTCACAATGTCTCAAACTCTTGATTAGCCTTTGTTCTATCATTTCTTTTTTTCTATGTCCAGGTTGTCATTCTTAGCTTAAATTTTTACTCTACTGCCCAATGCTATTGTATTTTTCTTTTCACAAACTTGTCTCTTACCCATAAAGCCTTTGTCTGTTGAAAGTTCTAAACAGGGTCTTTGAAGGTTGGTGCTCCATCATCCATTGGTGATTCTTGCCTGATTGTAAATGAGGATTTTCCTACTCCACCACTCCCTCCCAGATTTAGTAGCCAGCATTCTATTTGAAAGAAGAGCCCACCCTTATTTCTTGTTTTATCTATTTATTGTAAGCAAGGACTCATGGATTCTTTACTTTTCTTACTTATTTTGAAACTCAAATTGTCCAAGATCTGTCCAGGGAGTATCCTTTCAAGATGGCTTTTGGCTTGTTTCTACACACCCCATTTTTCTTAAAGCACCTCCTTATTTTCTGGCACAACACGATGTCCCAGGCTCATTTGAAACCTTCCCTGTCCTACTCATGGAATCAGCTATTTCTTCAAATCATTTCATTTAATTTTAGAGGAAAATGGTATTTATGAATCAAGGTCTGAACATGTGATATGTCCACTGTCTCTGGGATTTCATTACTTCTAGGACTTTTCAGTCCTAGATTAGATAAATAGGTGGGTGGGTAGGTAGGTAGATACTTAAGACTTAGATACTTAGATAGTTAGGTATTTTTAAGAAATTATGAGTCATACTAACACTTCCAGCTTCAATCCAAACCACAGAATTCTTCCTTGTTGTTCCCCATTTCACATTTGTATTTTCCTTCATTCAAAGTGAGAGAACTGTGACTCCTAACAACACCAATACATTTACCCATTTGCTTAATTATATAATACATGTAAAATAGTTTCACAATTGCTACAACCATACCTTATGAAAAATAAAACTTAATAAAGTTCAAGATTTATTTCAAGAGTTTATTAAAGTTTATTTCAAATTTATTCAGGAGTTCTTTTCCCCCTTGATTGTAGTTAGCTAATTCATTTGAAATATGGTTACATGCATTTGTTTCTGTTTGTATTCAGTTTTAGGTGCCCTTGTCCCCATTCTTGTTGATTTAATTATATGTTTGGATATCTGTATGTTAACATGCTTCCAAAAGTCAAAATATTATACAAAGCCAAAATATTATACACAGTACATCTCTCAGAAAGGTGTCATTCACTTCCTTTCTAGCTTGTTCTCCCATATCGTTTGTAGGTAGCCAATTTTCTTAACTTCTGGATTTATGCTTCCTGTGCATCTTCTTGTATAATTAAGTGTATATATATATATATATATATATACATGTGTATTATTCCTGTTTCCTCTATCTTATAAAATATAGCATATTATAAATACTTTTATGTATTTTGCTTTTTCCTCTCCTGGAAATCACTCCCTAATTACTGTATCGCTATATTTACTGTGTTTCTTTCTCTCTTTGTCTGTGTCTTCTTTATTAAGGGTCTGAGATTTTAGCCTATTTGTATGCCTGCCCGTACTTTAATAGATGCTGGCAGGAGACATGAGATTTCTGGGTCAGAAACAAAGCTCTTTATTACTAACAGCACCAAAGGTGGCACTACATAGTTATATAGATTCCCTGTGACCTGCAGTTTCCATGTGGTGATGCTGCAAACCCAGTGGGTTTGTGTCATAGCTGAGGGACTCTGTTCTTTAAGGAGCTGACAGAAAATTAGCCCAAACTTTCCCTAAGAGAAAGATATTATCTTTAGTATCCTAATTTGGTAACAAAACTGCCTTCTGGTCCAGGGGGCAATTCTTTATCTTCCAAGACTGTTATATTTGAAAAGATAGTTCTTTTTTTTTTTTTTTAAGATTTTATTTATTTATTTGACATAGAGAGAGAACCAGAGAGCACAAGTGGAGGGAATGGCAGAGGGAGAGGGAGAAACAGGCTCCCAGCTGAGCAGGGAGCCCAACGCAGGACTCGATCCCAGGACCCCGGGATCATGACCTGAGCCGAAGGCAGATGCTGAACCATCTGAGCCACCCAGGTGCCCCTTGAAAAGATAGTTCTGAAGAAAGGCTATTGGCTGATACTAGAT